CGAATATTCAAAACGGACGTGAGTGAACATTAGTGACAGGTTCTGACAAAAATCAGCAACCATCGAGTCACTAAAAAGGTTCCTTGTATAAGTATGAACACAAAAGCTTCCCGAAAACAATGTCGTTCGTATTCTGAATGTTAAAATCTATTGGTTATAGAATGGATTTAATCATATAGGGAATAAGATTAAACTGAAGTGAAATATAACTCGGAAATAGTGGACAATCACGCTGGCACAATGTTTACGAACTGCTCATCTGATTATGAGGCAGTCGGCTCAGCTAATATTAACCCTAATGTCGGAATCACTGGCAACGAAAGTATAACGAGATCATCTTTAGCTTTTTAAAGCATGCGCCTAAAGAACGAGCAGAGGCAACTATTTCGGCTCAATCAGATTTTTAACTGGGATACTTTCTAATTTACTGTTTACCGTTTATNTTTACTGTTTACCGTTTATAGGAATCAAGTTACGTCCACTTGTATTGATTACGCCAATATTTGTATCAATGTACGTCTCAATAGTGGCCAAGTGTATAGACAAGATCCCCATTATCTTAATGTGACAGGTTTTGTCTTTTATTTCGTGTCGAATGAGGCCACCCGAGGCAGTGCATTATGATGTAGTTAATTTAAAATCATGCTAGCAGCTGACCGGCAAGCGTCCAAGTGAGTGTGAGACTGACAGCCTCTCATGAGCCGTTAGTCCTACAGGCACGTGACACACGGTGTGAAAGCTAAGTATCATGTCGCCACTTATTGATCGCTTGACCTTGAAGCGCCCCGGACACATCAGTCACGGTTTGGTCAACGCGTAGCACGGACTGGATCGACTGCACGGTCATTCGTCGACCCGTGACAGCCTTGCGAACTATTTTGTCAAGTGGCGGACTGTGTTAACTCTATGAGCAAATCACAGAATTCACATTTCACGTAGTACAAGCCAGCCCACGTGACACATGTCATTGTTGTAATGATCTACTGCTTACTCGGGGGTGAGTTTCAGAAAATCTGTTTTTCGATTATCCAATTCCCTGATTCGCCTCAGTCACATTGCATTCCCGTTGAAAAAACCAACAAACTCAGTTTATGATGTAGGAGCGAGATTTCACGTAAACTGTATAAAAGAAGAGTAAAATTTTTCGATAACTTCACTTCAGCTTTCATTCCTAAGACTGTTGAATTTTGAGTGCTTCTTTTCAACTACTTATCACAATAAAAATAGCATCAGCGATTCAACTAATGATCAACTAATTATCTGAATCTAACAGTCGTGCACCTAGGTTTATTGATTCCTATTACAAAGAATGGCGTGTAGGTCTCCTCAATACACACACAGGAATCATTTATTATCATATTATCAGACATCTTTTTACCGGAGGGCTTCATGCACAACTCTTCGCATAGTCAATAGCTTATACCGAAATTGACTCACCTGTTGCAGGTAAGGATCCATCTGTCTGGAGGTTGAAAAAAATGATACATGTTAACACTAGTTATTGCGAGTGGCTTTTGATTAAATAGGCCAGAAGCAAAGCCGTTTAGCCCAGTTGCAATGTGGGCAGCAAAAGAATGGTGTAAAACGTGCGCCAGTTGCCAGCCATCTAAATGAAATAAACTGTTTTGTACGGCTCACCGAATTTTACATGGTTACACGACCATATGTGATCTATAGATGGGATATCACCATTGTGTTCTTGCATCATTACAAATAGCGTAGCATAGCGAAGTGGCTTAGTAGCGAGCGGCAGCATTTGCAGGCGAGGTTAAAAAAATGTAATATTCTGTCGACTGTACCCTCCAACATGGCCATTAAATTAAAACGAGGTAGCTCGCCATGTTGAATGTGGAACTGGATGTGTATACATTACATGCGCATGCTGAAGTTAAAAAGACTCCACCGTGTTGCATAAATCACTTTCAGGCACATAAAGACACCGTGTTAACTGACACTGGATGTCTACGAAGACAGTAATATTTTTTACTCATTCAAAAACCATGTGATGGATTAGTTGCATGGTTAAAATAAAACGCAAATTCAGATGAAATGCAACCCGACAAATGATTATTCTTAACTGATTGTGGTAAAAAAGCAAGCAGGAATATGAACAACTTATTGACCCGAAAGGTTGCGGATTCACCCTGGTTAACCGCATTTGGTTAATTGTTTGGTTGTTTGGTCCAATATTAACAGCTGTACAACCAAATAGTTCTTCATAGGCTCAACAGTTTGACCGAATGAACAAAATATTTCGTACATGAACTAAAATAGCAGGTGAGTAAGTAAGCAGGCAAATAAATAGGGCTGAACCAAAAAGAATTACGAGCTAGCGGTCAGTTATAGTTGCAGGAATCGTTTAGCAGAAATAATAATCTGTGTGCTGAAGCAAGCACATCCGTGGTGCACCGTTGCAGAAGTGAGGGCGAGGCAAAACAGTGTGAGCAAGCTCGCTATTTGCCATGTGTGTGAGAACGTGCGTTAGTGCGAAGCAGTCGATCGTGTTCGATGGCAATAGCTTAGGAACCAGTTTGCGTGCGATCAAGCAAGCAAGGCGACCAGACTAACCACTATTCCTTCTGGGTGGGTGGTTGCGTTCATCCAACGCACACTGTCCATGGATGTGTTTGTTTTTTCACGAGAGGAGGTCAGATGATCCGGTTCTTGCGGTTTGTGGTCCACTGTTGGGCTTATCATTGTATCATTGTAGACTTGCGTGACTATAGTACCGTCCACAAGCTGATGTTGCCCATCGTCTGTGACAACATACTCCGTTACTAATGCACCGGTGACTAAATCGTAAATAGACACTGATTGGTCAGTTGTGTTTTTCATGACAAAGTACCGATTTTTATCGTGTAACGTAGATGTTGCGGTCGGGAAGAGAACACCATTTGGAAACTGAATCATACCATCGGCACGCACAACAGCATTAGGAACAGTTAGTCCACTCATCGTGTCATATACGGCTAACGCTCTGCCTTCCGGATCTGCCCGTATGACATATCGGGGACCGTTCACTCGTCCCGGAGCCACGATCTCACCAGTGGGCAGTTGTATAAAGCCGTCTTCTAAAATTATCGCATCGATAATCGGTTCACCGGACAAGGCATCATATACCATCTGAACACCCGACGGATCTGTGGCTATCAGATACTGAAAATTACCCGGATGTGCTGTTGCACGAATGCGTCCATCACCCAACTCGACTAATCCTGAAGGTAGTACAGTGGCATCAGGTAGCAGCTCCCCAGTTCTTCGATCGAAGATGTGCACCAACTCCGTCCTCTTATCATAGAATACGTAGTACCGAGCACCAGTTTGGGATTGGGCTATGGCAAGACTATCATTGGGTAGTTGAATCACTTCGTGATTAAGTACAATGGCACCAGCGATAGGCTCTCCTGTTTCTCGGTCAAACACGACTGCGGAATTCAGGTCACTCACGTTAAGGAGAAGAAATCGTCCTGCACTATAGTTCGAAAGAGCCAGAAGATTTCTGTCTGAGAGACGGAAGAATCCGGAATCACCAAGTACTTCACCTTTAAGTTGGCAACCTGAGCGTTTATCAAACGCTACAACGCGACCGTTTTCCGGTAATGTCACGGCAATGTAACGACCACCTTGTTGTGATGGTATTGTGGCAAGAGTACCATTGGGTAGATGGATTACATCAGCTTCATCAATATATGCACCGGCCTGATGCAAACCGGTAAACCTGTCGTACACAATCAATTCAGAGTCCTCAGCAGGAGGGAAAACCAAAAGTTTAGAACCATCATCAGAAGAAGCAACCACAACCGAGCCAGAAGGCAGTCGAATTAGGCCGTGCGATTCTACAACTGCACCTTCCAATTTTCGACCCAAGTGCCGATCAAACACTAAGAGTTCGTTGGTCCGGTCATCTCGTACAACCAGAAATCTATCTGCATGCGGCATTTCTAAAATGTCTACAGTACCATCCGGTAATCGGATAACACCAAGAGAGTCAACCATGGCTCCTACAATCAAAGACCCAGTTTGCCTATCGTATATTGAATAAGAGCTAACACCATCTGATTCGTCAACCAACATATAACGCGAACCTCTCGCAGACCCAGGAGCGACCACTGTGCCATCTTCCAAACGAATCAACCCATTGTCCATAATTGTAGCGCCATGTACGGGCATTCCGGTTCGTGTGTCGATTACAATGGTGCGATTGTCCTGAGCAGATGTGACTAGACGATATCGATGCCCTTGTTCGGTCGGAGATGCGTACATGCTACCATCGGGTAATGTGATCAGACCATGCTCGTCGACAGTTGCTCCGTGCAGTAGTTCACCAGTCCACCGATCGTACACTTGTTTCTCCATCGTGTCTGGGTCTGTGACAATCATATATCGCGATTCTCCTTCGGCCGGTGCTGGTGCTGCGTATGTCCCATCATCAAATCTGATGAGACCGTTCTCTTCTAGGGTAGCTCCTGGGACGGGAGTTCCTGTACGTCTGTCTAGGACCACCAAATCTCCGGTTATTGGATGGGTCACGACTACGTACCTCTCGGCTTCAGCGGATGGTACGATTCCCAGTTGGTCATCTTCAAATGTGATTATCCCGTTTGGTGTTATTGTGGCACCTGTGATTGATTCTCCAGTTGAGCGATTGTACACGGCTTCGACGTTTCCGTTCTCGTCGAAAATGACGTGATATCGTTGACCGAGTTTGCTTGTTGGTGCCACGACTTTCCCGGATGGTAGCCTAATGAGACCGTTTGACTCGAGAACAGCCGCTTCTATCTCGATGCCGATGTGTCGATCAAATACGATCGATCTTCCGGTATTTTTGTCTGTAACGACCAGATATCGATCGGCTGATGGTAGACGTGCGACGGCCATGGTGCCGTCAGGTAAGTGAATGACGCCGTCTGCATCGAATGTGACATCTGTTAATTGTTTACCAGTTCTTCGGTCAAATATCATTGTGGAACCGTCTCCGTTGCCGCCGTCCACGTAGAAATATCGGTGCTCACCTTCCGCTCCGGGTGCTACTAATGTGTTGTCTTTCAGTCTTGTTAGCCCGTTGCTGAGTATTTGTGCTCCTTCGACGATTTTTCCTTCGTGCACATCCACGAGATACATTTCCCCTGTCGCGTTATCTACGATTATCATGTATTTAAACGGACTGTCCTTATTAGGTTGAATTATTGGCTGCGTTTCCTTGTCTTCCGTTATCGTCTCCGTCGTCATGTTTGGCTTTCTGATTTCCTCAATGACGTTGTCCTGAAATTCGAATGTTTATGTTTGTTAATGCTTAGAATGTTCGAATTAAAAGGTATGCATCCAACGAGATAAATGCTGATCATCAAGAACCGCATTCGCTTCTATTTAATCGAAGTTAAAGTCACCGTCCTCGCATTTTTATATCCTTTGATAAGTGGCTTCTTTTTCGTTTACGAAATTTGCCCAGAGACTCCTCCTTATGTTTTTCGAGACTCAATATAGTAATTTTCTGTCAACTCTGATATCCGGAGTAGAAAATAATCAATAGTTCCCGCGCGTCTTATTTAGCTTGTGTTTCATCACGAATGGCTATGGTGTTGCGTGCGTTCCTTTTGATGCACGCCATTTTTGGCTGCTTTTAGTGTGCGTAAGTAGTTGCCAAAATGTTTATGTACATATATATATATATATATATATATATATATAGGTTTACGTCATCGGACGTTCATGACATGTATAATAAAACAATTGTTGATTTTTTCCGAAATGATGTGATTTCCTGGCGATGATCCTATTGCAGTGAATCAATATCTCTATGGTAAATTGTGACTCACTGGTCAATTCTTCCACCTTCTCTCATCCATTCGAGTTGGTCTTTTTAAACTGGATTTGGTCAATAAGCTGTGTGCTCCATATTGGCATGTAACAGAACATTGTTCAAAGAGGGAATTCGCACACTCATGTTCACTATAATAACAAGAATTGTGTGAATATAATTTAGTTTTGGAGCATCATCAGTTTCATTTTGGCATTCCATTTGGTTAATACGGGCTATGACTGTTTCTTTACACGCTTGCATCTATTCTTGTGAGTTCTGTCTTCCTTGTTAAGTTTCGATGTTTGATCTACGTGACTGGCACTGCTGAAGCAAATTTTTCCAACTGTTTTGTTTAAGGAAACTGGAAAATACATGTTATCTGCCTGTGAGGCATACCGCGCGGACAAATGGCCCACCGTTCNCGAATCCTGCTCTAGAATAGGCCCGCATCTTCAGCGTGGTCATTACTTGAGACAAAAAACGTTTGACACTTACATTTTCGCCCTCGGCTGTTGGATTTGTCTATACAAAACGGGGAAAGGGATAGAGAACACACGACTAATATCTGATATCTGGTTTTGCAATCTAAACAATAAAAACATTTCAAGATCAGTGATTTTTGCTCGGTCCTAGTAATTGTGCCCGTTTTTACTTCTGATTCATAATTAGTCAGTTTGGCTGCGGAAACTGTTTCATTTCGGGGCAGTATTTTTCAATTGTTAACCTGATCAAGTCTCCCTAACTCTCCAGCAACTGTGGTCTCTGATGCCACTCTACTTTTCGCATGTTCGTTTGTAGGCGTAATGATCTACACCAATCTTTGCGAAAAATAAATAAACGTCGCATAATCCAGCCTTGACCAGATAGCTTTACTGATTGAACACTCATTCAGTTCTTCACCTGCACTTTAGTTCGCTTGTTCGCTCACTCACTCACTCACCCACTCACTCACTCACTCACTCACTCACTCACTCACTCACTCACTCACTCACTCACACTCACTCACTCATCCTCAATCATAGTCTTCAATCCAGTCAAAAAACTAGGATCGATACTGAGATACGACGTCTGTCGACTGGTATTCTCCTGTACCTACCCTGACCGTTGAAAAATTATGCAACTGGTCGACTATCCACTTGATTGAGAAGTAGTACACAGAAGTATTGTTGCGAAGAAAATTCCTTTAAGTTCAAGTATTTCACACCTATGGGTCTACTGATGCATTCAGTTCAGTCCAGATTTTACGACCATTAACCATGCCCTTTAGTGAGTCGGTTTTTGTTGCTGTCTTATGGCTGCCCATTTGAATAATAAAGAATAAGAAAGATTGAAATGTTTTGAGCTAAGTCAAAGCGAAGATAGAGAATTCACATTGACTAAGGTTGTAAGAATAACGAGTAGAATAACGATTGCCATTGTTTGCGACAGTCAGCCATATTACTCAGTGTCTCTAACCACCGTTTACAATAATCCACATCCAACACACCACGACGAACCTCATCATTGTTCACCCGATGTAAAGTAGAACACTACAAACCGCGGCGATGTACACCCTTCGATAAAGGGACAGTCAGATGTGATGGCGGCGCCACAGGTGTCGCAGCTTGGCGGAAACTACTCTATCTTTCGTGATGTGATCTCCTACTCAACACCACCATCAACTGCGATTAAGCTACCGAGGTAAGTAAAGCTCTGCATCATTTCTAGCTGATCGCCACAGTGGGTGAGTGCAGGCACAGGTACCGGGTGGTCAGACCATAACATGGCGTAAAGGTATGAAGAAGCTGGCTTCATCTTTGGCTTCAGTTGGTGCATCCCGCCTTCCAGGTTGGGGCCCAGGGGATGGAAAGGTTTGTTGATTAGAGACGCTGAGAGAAATAGCCCAGAATAGAAGTCAGTGGTCCGAATGCTAAACGATCTAACTGTTAAAATCCCGTGCCCCACAAAAAAAAACGATAAACTAACACACAAATAGCCCAAAGTGTACGGTGAAACAATGATGAAGGACTGGCATCCATTGGTAGTATTTGCTCAGTNAGGGTGATGGTTCAGATATCAAACGGGGCCAGTTGAACCGAGCCTCGAAATGTTTAGCCCATCGATCGAGACATCCGGCTGTCTGTGACGGGTCGAGTGTCCGTCGCGACATTTCGGCCAGTCCTCGTATACGGTGCAGAAACTTGGCCATTAAGAAAACAAGATAAATACAGACTGTCGGTGTTTGATCACCGTTGTCTATGCAGTATTGCACGAATCTGATGGGGTAGCCGGACGAGCAATGCTGAGGATAGGTGCAGAGTTTTGGGTAAATACGGTCGCCCACTGGATCAAGTGGTCGACCTCCATTGATTATGTTAGTTGGGGCATATGTTACGCATGTCAGCAGGTAGGTTACCACGGCGAGCGATGTTCGCCGAAGCATACACCGAGTGGAAAAAAGCCAAGGGTGGTCAAGTTATGACCTGGCGCGAGGGTATGAAAACCTTAACCAGGAAACTGGGTCACATAGGTCCTGTTAGGCTCCCTGGCTAGGGACCTCGGGATGATCGTAACCGATGGTTAGAGACATTGAGTGATATGGCTGGGTGTCGTGAAGAGTGGCGTTCGTGCATCTCCTCAATTTCTTTCCAACCTTAGTCCACTGAAGTTCTCCATTTTCTGTTCGACTCCACTTTCAACTTTCCTTTCTTCTCCCGTTCTTCATCCCAATGGGCAGCCAAAAGACAGCAACCAAAACTGGCGCACGAAAGTGCGTGGTTAATGGTTGTTCAAACTGAACTGAACTCGATCAAGACGGTGTTGCTGATGGTGAATCAGTGTGCCATCGGATTCCTCAATTACCTCGCGCTTATTTTCCTAGGGTTTGTATTCCTAATTAGACGGAAAAGATTGCGACTATTACCAATCGCCGCAACTTTCTACATCTCTTTACATTTTCCTATCCACCACTTCTCGCGGTCATTCCTCAGACTCTTTAGGAGCTGGTGTTTAAGGGATTTTCTGTATTAGGAGAAAAGGCTTTACGAGCATCCTGCAGAGGATTCAAGGTCTAGGAGACATCATTTTTGTTTTGAGGGTATGAAAACCATAACCGGAGACAGGGTCACGTAAGCCCCGTTAGTTTCCCTGGCTGGGGACCCTGAGATCCTGGTCACCGAGGGTTAGAGACACAGCGATATTCTGGGTGTCGCCAACAGTGGCTCTCATGCACCACAGGTGTTGATCGGTGAGAGCGCAAGTCTTGAATCAACCCCCCCATCGGTAACTGATGGGCGATGTGGTCGACTGAGGTCAATCTCTATGGAGCATTTCACGGCAGTGTCGTTTCTTGAGCAAAAACTTTGTGCTTGCCGGTCCGTGGTCCGTGCGAACTTTAAGTAGGCGATATCCGTTGTGTATCCGGTTAACTGGGATGGCATGTGGCCCTCCAAGAAGCCTTTCAGATTTGTCCAGGTATCCCACTTGATCATCAAAGTCTCCAATGACCACAGCGACGTCCGTGGATCGAGCACTTTGGAACAGTTGAGAAATATCCTGGTAGAATTCATCCTTGGTTTCAGATATACTGCAATCGGTTGATGCACACACCGATATGACAAATAAGCATCGACGCTTTGTTCTGTAGCTGTTGACCCGTACTGAACTGTTAAGACGTACAGCGCATAGTCGGCTACTGATTGGGATCCTGTCAAGAAGCGAGCGCTCAATCTTCGTACTTAGGACAATCCCAACACCAGAAACACCGCGAGCGCTGGAGGCCAAATCGTCTGACATACGAACAGTGAAGCATTAGGATAAGGTTGGGTCAGGAGAACGCAGGGAGGTGATTGAAGTAGAGTCTTGTCTGCGTGTTTCGGAGACACAACATACCTCTAATTTGAATGTTTCAAGGGTTCTATCTAAGGCAACTTGTTGTAGTGTGCGTAAGTTGAACGCGTCAAAGTGAAAAGCGAATTTTGGTTTCAAAAATCCCAAAACTTCTGACCTTAATGGTAAAATGCTGTGTGAAATCCGATGGGTGATGTCAACAGGAGGCATCTCGTATTATTCGGGATTGAGAGGAAGAACTACACTAATGAGAAAGGTAATTTCCCAAATGAATGTTTAAAACCATAGAACACTTCATACTTTGCACTAGGTCACACCGACGAAGGGTGTTTTCTTTTGGAACCCTAACTGGAGCCTTTGACTCAAAAGTCTGACCCACAAGTCAGTGGGACGTAGATTCAATGCAGGAGTGCGACCGAAGCACCCTTGTGGGAACTTCTAGAAACCTGTCTTCGGGTTGCCGTTCAGCGTATTGTTTGCTGGCGTGTTGATTGTCAGTCCGCTGTTCGGGATTGGTTCTTAATCTGATGCACCCAAGGATACAAGCGGGAGTTGGACGGGACAGCATCTTATTGGCTAGGAGATGTCGAGCTTGGGCGGG